GTTAAGTTTCCTAGCCATAGACATGTGTTGTCATTTGATGAACGGGATCACATCATTACGAGAATGATGTGATGGACAAGACCCATCCATTAGCTTAGCATAATGATCGTTAAGTTTTATTGCTATTGTTTTCTTCATGTCAAATACATATTCCTTCGACTATGAGATTATGCAACTCCCGTATACCGGAGGAATACCTTGTGTGCTATCAAACGTCACATCGTAACTGGGTGGTCATAAAGATGCTCTACAGGTATCTCCGAAGGTGTTTGTTGGTTTGGCATCGATCGAGATTAGGATTTGTCACTCCGAGTATCGAAGAGGTATCTCTGGGCCCTCTCGGTAATGCACATCATGATAAGCCTTGCAAGCAATGTGACTAATAAGTTAGTTGCGGGATGATGCATTATGGAACGAGTAAAGAGACTTGTCGATAACGAGATTGAACTAGGTATGAAGATGCCGACGATCGAATCTCGGGCAAGTAACATACCGATGACAAAGGCAATAACGTATGTTGTCATTACGGTACGACCAATAAAGATTTTTGTACAATATGAGCATCCAGGTTCCGCTATTGGTTATTGACCGGAGAGGTGTCTCGGTCATGTCTACATAGTTCTCGAACCCGTAAGGTCCGCACGCTTAACGTTCGATGACGATTTTGTATTATGTGATTTGGTGACCGAATGTTGTTCGGAGTCCCGGATGAGATCACGGACATGACGAGGAGTCTCAAAATGGTCAAGAGGTAAAGATTCATATATAGGACGATAGTATTTGGACACCGTAAGTGTTCCGAAGGTACCGGGTACGTTTCGGGTCACCGGAAGGGGTTCCGGGCAAACCCCAGCAAGCTATATGGGCTTAATGGGCCTAGGGAGGGACAGACCAGCCCACAGGGGGCTGGTGCGCCCCTCCACCAGGCCGGCCAGCCCTAGGGAAGGCAAGGGAGGAGGGCTAGCCCCATCTTTCCTTCCCCTTCTCAAGGAAGAAAGGAAAGGGGGGGCGCCACCTCCTCCTTCCTTCTCCTAGTGCCAAAACAAGGAAGGGGGGCGTGAATTGGGGTGGCACCCCAAGTAGGATTCGGCCCACTTGGGTGCCCCCCTGGCTGCATCTTCCCCCCTCCAACCTATATATATGTGGGGAGGAGGGCGCCTAGAGGACAAACAAACATCTATTAGCCGTGTGCGGCGCCCCCCTCCACAGTTTACGCCTCCGGTCATATTGTCGCAGTGCTTAGGCAAAGCCCTGCGCGGATCACTTCACCATCACTGTCACCATGTTGTCGTGCTGACGAAACTCTCCCTCGAGACTTTGCTGGATCAAGAGTTCGAGGGACGTCATCGAGCTGAACGTGTGCAGAACTCGGAGGTGCCGTACATTCGATGCTTGATCGGTCGGAACGAGAAGAAGTTCGAGTACATCAACCGCGTTGTCAAACGCTTCTGCTTTCGGTCTACAAGGGTACGTGGACACACTCTCCCCCTCTCGTCGCTATGCATCTCCTAGATAGATCTTGCGTGAGTGTAGGAAATTTTTTGAAATTGCATGCTACGTTCCCCAACAGAGTCTCCCTGCTGAAGAGCATGCTCCTGACATACCACAAACAAGTAAAGAGCATCACCAGAGGGCTGATAGCATTGACGAAGACGAGTCCACATCTCAAACATAGAACCGAGGCCCATAAACTCAGATGCAAACTATGGTAAAACCCTGGAAGTGAGGACAGCCGCGGCACGAGCATCATCATCACACCTCTGAGTGTAAGTAGTCAAATCATCACGATAAACGGAAAGAGCGTCTGCATAAACCACAACCTGCTGGTCATAAGCAGCAACTCAGGCTGCAGCCCTATCATCATCAGAAGCATCTGCAACAAGAGACGGTGGAGGCGGCGGTGGGATAGGAGCCACAGGAGGAACTGGGCGCTGAGGACAGGGAACCTCACTGGAAAGAACTCCCCATAGACAAAGGGCACGCATGTGAATGCGCATAAAGGCAACAAACTCACCATAGTTAGCACCATCAAATATCACCAGACAGCATGGAATGGCGACATAGCCCAATGAGGTTGAAGACCTAATGCTCCTCTTGTGTCTTTCTTTTTCCTTCTTTTTCTCTAATCAATCCGCGCATATGAACAAGTCAATTGGACAGAGACAAAAGGGCCCACGGCAAAGGCCGAACCACGAGCAGCAGGGGACCTCGATCAACCAGACTTTGCAACTGGCGGGTGGAGACGGCGACCGGCGTCAGGACCACCGGCTCGACAGGGGGCCACGAGCGGGGCAGGACGGGCCGCCGGCAGCAACGGGCGGAAGGGGCCGATGGTGGCTGGCAGCGCCAGGCGGCCGGAGCCAGAGGGGCATTTGGGGGCCGCGGACGGAGGGGCGTCGGGCGGCCAGGAGAGCAACGCCCGAAGGCAATAGCGGCGCGGATGGGGCGAGCAACCAAAGGCGGCCTTGGAGGAAGATGAGCAGCGAGCGGCTGGATCAATCGGGACCAAGTCCGATAGGATCCAACACACGGCGCTGAATCTGTGGATTCCACAGAGCGGTTGGATGGGAAGCTCCTGTAGCTAGAGATGAATGCAGGCAACAGCAGAATCACGGGCCGGCAGAAAAGAAAGCAATGGCGGCCGTGTAGGAGATTGGATCGGGAGCAACACGAGTTGCGCGTGCGAAAAAAATATCTAGAGCTCTAATACCATGTTGAGAATAGCAACTTAATATTATTAGGAGGCCATAGCCAACTTATATATGTGTACAAAAGGATGCCAATAGGCTAGAATACAAAAGACCAAAAGACACACTAATATAACTCTTAACACCCCAAAGTTGTTTAGCAGTACTTGTTTTGTTCGAGATACCAACCTTCTTTGGGAAGTTAGATCCACAAGCAGTGAAGTATGTTTTTCTAGGCTACTCTTCTAGTCAAAGGGGTATAAATGTTGGTGCCCCTCTGAGAAACGCAGGCTTGTTAATATGGATGTCACCTTTAGGGAGTCTGAACCATTCTATGGTGAGTTGACAGATCTAAGTTTGTTGTTTGCAGAGCTTCACCACTTACACTCTGTGAAGGATGGTCAAGTGAGGGAGCAGGCTGCGTCTCACACTCAGGGTGATTCTGTGGGTGCAGGTTCAGGTCCAGCCAATAGTGGGTCAATTTCAATTCGTACTCTCCCGATGATGATGTGCAGGTTTAGGTCCAGCCAACAGTGGGTACAATTCAGATTGGTAATCTCAAGCTTCCTGTTCAGGATCAGTGGCAGAAGATTCCCCTGGTGTACTCACGACGGCAGCCACAAGTGCATAGCCCATCTGACACACTCCTGGTATACTCATGACGGCAGTCTCAAGTGCAGGGGGAACAGTAAGGTAGTGATGCAAGCTCATCTGACACAGTGAACTGCCTATTGCGTTGCGAAAGGCGAATCGTGAAGCGACAAGAAAGGGTGAAGTGGCAAGGAAGGTTCTACCACAGGATGATGTTTGTGGTGACCATGACATTGGCAACTTTGTGTCTTATGAGGCTGTCTCCTCCCTATAGAGCGTCCGTTGCCTCTCTTCAAACTTTCAATCCCAAAGGATTGGAAGGCTGCAAAGCAAGATCCAAAGTGGCGTGCAGTGATGATAGAGGAGTTGGATGCATTAAAGAAAAACAAGACGTGGGTGCTAACCACATTGCCGGTAGAAAAGAAAATAGTGAGTTGTAAGTGGATCTATACCATTAAGCAGAATCCTGGGGGGAAGGGAACGGTATAAGGCCAGATTGGTTGCCAAGGGATATAGTCAAACTTGTGACGAGACGTTTTCTCTAGTGGCAAAGATGAACACATAAGAATATTGGCTTCCTGTGATGCAAACTATGGGTGCAAGTTGCATCAAGTAGATGTCAAGAATGCCTTCTTGCATGGTCAGCCGTAGGAAGAAGTGTGGAGGGAGATACCATCAGATTTTGTACTTCAATGACCATGGGGAAGGTATGCAGGCCAAAGAAATCATTGTATGGGCTGAAGCAATTACCGAGGGCATTCAAACGTGTTGTCTGTGGTATGGGGGTATGACCAGTGTAACGGTGATCACACGATGTTCTATAGACACAGATCGGAAGATCACCATTCTTGCAGTTTATGTGGATGGCATCACTGGAGATGTTAAGGAGAAAATAGAGATTGAGGGGGTGCCTGAGCAAGGAGTTTGAGGTAAAGGATTTGGGCAACCTAAAATACTTCCTTGGCATTGAAGTGGCTTGGACAGAGAAGGGAATATCTTTGTGCCAACGGAAATACACCTTGGATCTCTTGCGTGACATGGGCATGATGAGACGTCATGCAGCCCTTACTCCGATTGAACAAAATCATCAAGTGGCAGCACAATCTAGAGAGCTAGTGAATAAGATTATCATAAAGTGGTTGGGAGATTATTGTACTTGTGTCATACCAAGCCTGACATTTCATATGCCTGGGTGTGGTGGCGGATACATGCATGAAGATCAACTAGAGGTGGACGGCTATAGTGACTCTGATTGGGCTGGTTGTCAAGATGATAGAGGATCAACTTCTGCCTACTCTATGTGTGTGTTTGTGGGAGGAAATTTGGTGTCATGGAGAAGCAAAAAACAGACAGTGGTGTCTAGATCAACTGCAGAAGCCGAGTATAGAGCCTTATTCAAGGGTTGAGTGAGATGCTTTGGGTGAAGCACCTCCTGAGCGAGTTGAAACTTCTGAGGAAGGGACCCTTGCGGGTATGGTGTGATAATCAGTCAACTATAAGCATCGCTAATAACCTTTTTAACATGATAGGACAAAACATGTGGAAATTGTTCGATGCTTCATATTTGTCAACTAATTTCTCACGGTAGCAACTAGCCTTTGGATTTCACGTTCCTCCTGAATTGTTATAAAATGATAACCTTTGTCAACTAATGCATACTGATGATTTATCACGGTAGCAACTAAATTGTGCATGCAATAAAATGACAGAATGCAGGCTAACCTGATGATTTATCACGGTAGCAACTAGCCTTTGGATTTCACGTTCCTCCTGATCCGCAAAGAGTTTAGACTTAATTGCCGCTGCCGACAAACCACACAGGGTGGCATGCTTCGCATTTTCTAGAGAAATGGACGATGAAGCACCTGTTACGGGATAGGATAATAACTTAATGGTAAAACTCTTGAATGAGTAAACAAATGAGATTTCACAGCAAAATTAATTGTAACAAATATGAAGCAGCTACCATTATGGCCACAAAAGTTTGGATGCGCACCATGGGCCCCATCATCAGTATGCATTCTTTCAGGAATCACCCTTCAGCAAAAGGCAGGTCAAAATCACACTATAGCAGAATATGGGAAGGGAACTGGTAGCAAAACCAAAGGTCGAAATATCATCACCAAACAGATTTTTTTTACCTCAAGGATGTAAATTATTCAAAGTGCCAACCGTGTTTGATAATGGTAATAAAATTCACTCAATACAGAAAAGGATGGCTAACCTGGGATCATCATCTCTTGTCAACGCAGATAATGCTGCACTTGCGCATGATGCTGCAATTCTTGGTCCAATTGCAGAGGCCAAGAATGCAACCTACACAATATTTATGAACAGTGAGACCAAATATACAGAAGACAAAAAAGCCTACAAATGTTTTGGTCATGAGGAAGTATAAAGTGCAGTACCCTACAGCCAGACAAACCCAGCTAGAGAACATGGTATGTAAATACACTCAGGACAATACTTACTGACCTTTGTTACTTATCATTTTATTGGTCATTAGTACTTTTAGTTTCTACATACTTTGTAGTATTTGCACTTTTAGTTTCTAAATACTAATTTGTCATTAGTATTTTAGTGTAATCATGTTTAGTTTCTAAGCATAAAATTATGCAAGCAATTATAGTATCTCTCCATCAACCAATATATACCTTTTCAGATGACTAAGGCCATGGTTTCATAGGATAACATGGAAGTACAGTTGTGCACTACATGCACCACATAGACATCCCTTGAAAGAGTACATGCAAAGTGCAATTTGAGTTCACTTAAACCTGGACGTTCAGCATTGAATTGTATGCTTTTCAATTTGAATCAGACAATTAATGGTGTTAAAGGAAAACAGATTTGATGTGTGTCAAAATGGCACTAAAAATGGTACATTTTATATCTCTACTAGTAAAGGGGAGTTGGCAGCGTCGCCTCCCCTGGTTTTTTCCTCCCCACACCTCTTTCCTGTTAAGCTTCATGCACTAGCCAACGCAACCAAAAGTCCGAACTTATGGTAAGAGCTAGGCAATCCACATATACACTTCAACACTCCCTCTCACGTGTGACGCGGGAAGTCAACACGTGAATAGACTCAAAGGTATGACTCATGACGCCTATACATGGACAAAGAGGGGGGCGGAAGGAATTTTTTGATAAATTGCGAAAGCCAGAACTTAAACTCAAGACCTTAGCTCCGATACCATGTTAAGCTTCATGCATTAGCCAACGCAACCAAAAGTCCGAACGTATGGAAAGGTTTGGCAATCCACATACACAATTCAACACTTTTCTGGTTTTCTGTTGGTTTTTCTTTTAGTAATCTCAACTGATGGCACACAAAACAAAAACCAACGCAAATAGAGTAACTTGGAATAATGTAAACCAAATCGGTACTTTCCCAAAACCATGCCATGCATTAACTCAATCAAATTAAATCTGATCTCAACTAAATCTAAACTTCCCTTGCCTTCCACTACTCATACCCAAATCAAATCAAATCTATACTTACTAATAAAGGAAATTGATATTCTTAATCCGTCATGTGCAAAGGACAGATTTACACCTCCATCGAATTACATAAATATGACCAGTACCCCTTCCTTGCAGGGAAAGGGAAACCACCACGTGCCCGATCCCCTTCGTCCACCCCCCGTACGTGAAATAATAAACCTGACCGGATTTCCTAAAAAAAAACTTTCCAAGTTGGACAAGGAACAATCTGGGTTGGACAAGAAACATCTCTATCTCTTCTCTTCTCTCTTATCCTTCCTATCTTAAAAAAGAGTATTGTAAATTATGTAGGTCTCAGCACAAGCGGACCGGATCGCGGGACGAAAGAGCACTTAGGGTTCGCCACTGGAGATCACTCCACTACAGACGCAACTACTGCTCCCCGACATGCCGTCCAAGCGGGTGGCGACCAGCGGCCATTGTCCTTCTCCCCTTGCCGTCATTCTGCAGCAGGCGCCAACACTGGCCTAGATTCCCAAACAGGTCTCAGCCTGCTACCACAACTACTGCGTTGTCCTCCAGCACTGCTACCACCTCCGTGCATTAAGTTACCCGATCTGTTGTGCTTGTCCTTCGCTGACTGCCTCTCGCTGCCCGACGATCGTTGCATTTGTCATTAGATGTAAGCTTCGATTTCTGTTGCGCATGGTGTTGCACGCGATGTGTTGCTCCTCAGTGATAGAAGATGAGAAGAAGCCCGAAGATGCACCACAGTCTGAGGTTGAGAAGTCAAGGAGAGTGCAGAGACTGAAGAGGAAGAGAAGGATGCTGACCATAAGATATATTTCTGGAGTTCGCTATCGGGCGTGTGGGGACGAAATGAGCTACGACAATTCAGGCGGCCAGCGGATTTGGCGCCACGACGGCCAACCGATGTGTTGTGCGTGCATGATGGTGTAGGGGTGTTGTGCATGAGAGTTGGCTACCAGAGGGCATGCACGGCTGGCCGACGTCTGTGCTTGTTGGTTTGGTTGTGCATGCATGTTCAATACCGTCGTGTCGTGCTTGTGTGCGTGTTGGCCGGAGTGTAGTCCACTAAGCCATGTGGCAAGGCAGCGGCCCAAGAAAACGGTGTGCTTCTGCTCATTGAAACCCGTTTGCTTCCGTTCCATCCATTCTGTTGTGCGGTTCGGCGGTATGTCGGTTCATGGTATAGAAGGTGTCGAACCCACTGTTCGAGAAGAAGCCGAAGAATTCGGCATCTGCAGCATTCTTCATCCCAGTTCTTCCTCCCAACGACCTACGCCGCTTCATGAAGTGGCCCAAGAGTGTGTATCGAACGTCAGCGCCACGTTCTCAAGCTGCACCTCCCGGTGCTCCAATTCACGTACGCATTGGACAATAACCTTGGTATACTTCCTAACTGTTTTTTATGGAGCTTTGACTAGGAGCTCTCCAAACAAACAATTATATGAACAAACATAATTCATCATAATATTGATATACGGATCGCAAATAGGATTTGTAATCTTTAACTCAAATCTATAAATGGTTTTAAGTAGAGGCAATATCAATAAGGTTGCCTTATTGATCGAAGTGAAAATGGATCAATTATTAAAGATTCTACTTGGGACTCAATTATTAAGGATTCTACTTGAGTCTCGAGCTATGTAGTCATGTAACCGATTTACCCCATAGGTTTTTAGGTGTATGAGTTTCTACTCCAATTGGCACAAAATACATAATTTTCCGACAAATAAATATGGCAAACACATGTGTGTTTCAAACATCTTTTTGAATTTTTAGAATATGTTAATACTTACCTTTTTATTAAATTATCGTTCACCTCCAATACCAGTGTTAAACCCTTTTTTTGTTAGATAAACACGATTCTTTGTGCTTGGTCTTTCTTTTTTGGGGTGAACTATATTTTACAACTAATCAATTATTTATTTTGTTTTCATAAAAATTTAACTTTTGCATATGGTGAGAACATTGTGGGTAATAGGTTTCAAATTATCACTTTAGCTTTTAATATTTTATCATTCATCACAATTACAACACACACCCACACGAAGAGAGGGGCGACAAGAAGGACGATAATAGTAACATGAGTGGGGTGTCGTGTTGAAATAGATGGCGTGGATGTGTGTGCATGCGCACGCACGGATGAGAGGGGCCGTCATGCTTATTATGTTAGGGGCATGCGACATTTTTTTCTTCCGTTGCAACGCACGGACATGTTTGCTAGTCTTACAAAAACCTCAACTAAATCAAAACTTTCCTTGTCTTTTCCTATCCATAAACGAATAAATTAAATCTTACCAAATTCTAATATATGGTGGATGTCTCTATTATCCCTCTATTCCCTACTGTCAAAGGAAGACCGTACGTCATGCTCGTTTCACTTCTCTTCATAACACCACGGATAGATCAAAGGAAAAAATCCACTCTCTTGCTCGATCCCACCCACATGCAAAAAAAAGCGAGTTAAAAACCCAACAGTTGAATCCCACGCACGCATGCCGACTCCACCCTCGATTCCTTGAGCAACCTCTCTCCAATCGACACCTTTGAATCTTCCATCCCCATGCTGCCACCCCAAGCATGCCGCTGCCCGTATGAGTCCCCTCACCCATGCCGCCACAAGCCCTTCCCCAGGCCCTATTTCGCCTTTGCCACCACCTCCGCCCTCCAGCATGGACCTCGTCCCATTCAAGCGTCGGTGGGTGATTGACCAGACCCACTCCAAGGGCAAGGTCGAAATCAAGCGGCCGAGCCTCAGGGCGGCAACGCGGTGATGGCGGATGGCTGGTTGTGGCCGCCGCATAGATGTGGAGCGAGTCGCGAGAGAGGCGGTAAACGAGCGCGGGATGGACAAGAAAGTGATGCCGGCGATGGCGACCATGCCAGCGGGCAGAGCAGTGTCGAAGGTGGCCGCCATGGTGTTTCCGAAGAGCAAGGCATCCACTATCGCACAACCGAAGAAGTCCAAATCCAGACCGAGGTTGGCCACCGTGGCCGACGTTAAAGCTGGCGGAGGACCTGAAGGCCGATGAAAGCTGGCGGAGGACCACAGTGACCAGTTCAAAATCATAAGGGTTATATTGGATGTTAGAATTGAATTCATCTCTTGGAATCAGGTCCCAATTCAATTTCAAAGAGAGGGGGGAGCGAATTACGAATTCAGCATTTTCTGTTTCGCTGCCAAGGAATTCCCTACACTGAAATGATACCACGTCGCAACTCCAAATCATGCTTGGTTACCTAGATTTCACATTGCATGAAAACGGGAAACTTCATCTTATTCTCCAGATTTGACATCACTCAATCCTCTTCTTCTCCATAGAGACAACACTACTTCATGCATCGATGTGACCCCGCCAATCTTCGACGAGGTCATTTTCCCTTGCAGGAGAGGAGAAAGTTCTGCCAACATGAGGACTAACCAAGTCAAGAACGACAATATTCACCCAACAGGACGAACGGAGTAATGGAAGAAGGCTCTATGCCCTGGGTATTGGAGTTATGAAAGACCGTAGTGAAATCTTGACGAGCGCGCGCCTGCTTGTAGTGAGAGTGGTCGAAGAGACCGATGCAGAAGGCCAACAAGGTCTCATGAGCTTGATAGTGGTCAGCAATACTTGCCAGCGACAGATCTAGACTTTAGCAGATGGAGTTGAGGAAGTTGGCCAGATTAAAACAAGGTCAGCAGCTGCAAGAAGATAGGAAGCAAGGGCTCGCTGGCGAAAGAGTTCACAAAGACTAGCTAGCGTCGGCAATTGAGCCGGGAACTTGCCGACATTGGCAGTTGTGTCTTAGCGGCCACATGCTAATGAGGTTCTCCTGAGTTTCACCGGCTGTAGAGGTGAAGGAGTGGCGTCCATGGTCTCGAGCTGTGAGCTAAGTGATAGTTTCCGATACATTTGTTTCGGAGCAGAAGAGCTCGGTATTGGATGAGGCCATAATGGTCCTTCACAGTAGTCCACCAAAGCCCACTGAAGTGGGACCCAAAACCAATTCCAGTTTCTGGACCATCCAAACAGTTGGTATTGAGGATGTACGATTCCAATCCCGGAATACCAACTCCAGTTACAACATCCAAACGGAGTCTAGTTGACATTTCTTATATTTAAAGTACATAAGTAGGCAAGTAGAAGTACTGGCTTCCATTTCCAACATTCTCTGTAGTTGAAGACAGAACCATGCTTAGTGAAACTTTGAAGTATGGAGGCTAATCTAACTTTACTAAGGGATTTGATATAAAATTAAGTGCCAATAAACATACTCAGCATGTCATTATAGTACTATACATTATTGGCAACCCTCTAGTCCTTTAACCAGGTGGAATGGAGTAACTCCGTTCATCAATTATCTAAACAGAAAGTGATGAAAAATAATTTACCAGGGACATGACTGGATTAGAAGAACTGATGAACGGAAGTTCGTTTCCATGTTGAATACTTTGAGGTAGATTTCCTGGATAGAGAATAAACAGAATTGTCAGTGTTAAAAATGGAATCACACACAGTTTACAAAAAGGTGGAAAATAAACTAAGGAATTCTGATGGTGGAGCAAATAACAACTTAATGATGTAGAAGACCTGAAGTACTGCCATTGGAATCTGAATGTGGATATCCATTGCTTTGCAGTCTAAATGGCATGGATGCATCTGGTACCTCAATGTTCTCTAACAAACTATCCTCCACTGGAAGACGAATAAAATGGTAAATACATTGTGCCTTTGACTATGTTCCAACATGGTCTGCAATACTATTCCAGTTGTCTTTGTGCTTTTCTATGCCCTCCAATAACAATAATGTTTCTTGATCAGTCCAGTTATCCCCCTCATTTTCTGATCCATCTTTAGCCCCATCGACTCTCTGCAAATCTAAGCTTGAATGCCCGATAACATATCTTGCATCATGGAAGCAATCAGAGCAAAGAGCAATATCTGCCTGCTCAATCAGTTAAACAACAAGCTTTTTACCACTAGATTCTTACCCACAGAAGAGAAAAGAAAAACAAGAAGCAGACTGGCTAATTAACTTGAAAGAATGATACAGCCTTGCAAACTCCCCCTGATCATCACGTCAAAGAAGAAAACGGTATCGTAGTTCATTTATACATCATTAACGAAACAGTACGAGCTGAAATTGAAACAGAACATATCTGGCCCAAGCCACCACATATCACAAGTTAACCAACACTAAGTTACATTGCACCTAGACGCAGGTCGTTTCACATCACATAAATGACACCATAAGGATTTGTGTTCTGAATGTTTTTTGGTTTGCATATAAAATGTGGAGATATTACTATGGGCTTCCAACATTATGATGCATAAGCAAGATTTGTGACAACCACATGGGCACCAGTATCTGCTGGGTCAGAAAATCCTGAATCGAGATAAATTGGGGTTTAAAATTAAATAAAAAACTGCAGTCTTTATGAACCCAACCAAAATTCAACAGCATACTAAACTCTGCGACAAGACTATTTAGAATACGCCTTTTGAGCACATGTGAAATTCATAGGGTTAATAACAATCCTAGATACAGAACAAGTTTTCCTGCATATGAAAAAAAAATGAAAACATAATATGTATATGTATATGTAAATATGAAGATGAGCACCTCTTTCTGTGACTGATAACGCAAACTGCGCAAAGACTGTGAGCAGTAACTGCAATAGCTCTCTGATAGACGCTCTCTAATCTTCCCGTCCAATTCAGTAAACTCAGCACCGGCATCAAAATCCACCACCTCCGAATTCGATGAAGATGAAGCCAGTGAAGAAATGTTGTCTGCTTGGAGACTACATTTAGGCCGATCAAACAAAACTAAACCATCAATGGATTTCAGCGGTGCAGTCAACAGTTGCAACTCCCCTGCTGGTTCCTTTATTAGAAGTGATGCTGCCACCCTCAGACCCTGGTGCACCAGCCCAACCGCGAGGTAATTGATGATTCCCCAGGTGTCCAAGAACCGAACGATCCTACTCAAATCATATAGTTCACCTGTGTTAACAACAAACCCCTGGCACTCCGCAAACGCAAGCCTCTTGCATGGGTTCTCCAAATATTTGGCAATAATTTTATTCCTTAAGATTATGAACTTCTCCGGAGTGTGCCCTGGAGATTTCCCTGTGAAGAAGTGTGGAACAACCTGCCTTTCCAGCCTGTGCACCACCCCAGGAGAGAACCACTCTACAAAATGTAAACTAATTCATGTTGCAGTGAACTTAAAACCAACGTATGTTCAGTAATTCAGGATTTGGTCGCAACAAGCGAACCTGAATGCTTGGGCACGACATGGAGGCGGCCCTGGAACTGCTTGTGCACGCCATGCCCCTCCATGAGGGGAGGTGGCGTGCAGACGTAAGAAGACGGCCTGTCAGGATCCGTCGAAAGGGACGGGTGGTCAGGGAGCGCCACGGAGAGCACCTGGAGCTGCCCATGCGAGATGTTCTCCAATGGCGGTGGCGCGGCGGCGGAGACATCACCCACATACGCAGATCGCTCAGCTGCAAGGCCATGACCGACGGATGCGGCCGGTTGACTGTGCGGCGGGTGGCGGCAGGGAAGGCGGAGATAACCTCGGCCAAGGAGAGCAGCTCTGCCTCACGGGGGTCGGGCACCGGGTCCCTGGCCGCGGCACCGGCCAGTATTTCGTCGTCGGCATTGTCGACCGCAGGCGATGGAACGGCCGTGTGCCCGTGTCGTCGTCATCATTGTCGGCGGCAGAGTCGGAATTGTCCGAGTGGTCGGCCGCGGCCAACGGCAAGGGAACGGCGTCGGAGTTTCGCTTCCGTTTCCGCCATTTGGTGCGCGAATCTGGGAGTTAGGGTTCGGACGGCGAGTGCAAAATCAGTTGGTAGCAGCTCAGATAATTAGGTCCGGCGAGAGGTTGGACGTACGAACCTGGCGTGCAGGAGGCCTTGCGCGGCATCGTAGGCGGCGACGACGCGGGGGCTGCCGACGCCGAAGAGGTGGTGAGGTTTCGGAGTGTGACCGCGAGAGAGGGGACCGACCGTCTAGACGATGACGACGAAGGGAACATGTGCGAGCAGAAATTGGATCATTTTGGGCGCGTTTGGTTGCACCGTGTATTGCGTATACGTCTCAACTCAGCCTCGTTTTCGAAAAACAGGCTCATATGCGACATATGCAAGCTGTTTGGAGTTGTTTGGTTGCATGTATATGAACTTTTTGTATTAGGGGATCAACTTTGGCACGTTGTTTGGTTGCCTGCATTGTCTCGGCGCATACAACTACACGATATTTAGTTGCCTGCATGGGGTATGATTAAGAGCTACCACTTGCACTTAGCACACAGGGTTAAAAGCTAGCAGAGGAAAAGGGAGAAGAAATGCAGTGTGCGCCGGACCATGGCGACGGCGGTGGACAGTGACCGTGGCGCCATGTCCGACGTGACGAGCACGAAGTCATGGGCGAGCGACCCCGTCGGCAAATTTAGTTGAAGTGTTCGCGCAAAGACAATGGACAGAGGAGGAAAAATGCACTGCTCACAATATGGCATTGTCATTGTAGTAGGACGAGAGAGAAGCTGAGATGATCGACGCCGGAAATGACTCCAGTGTAGTAGGACGAGAAAGAGGAGGTCGGGAGGAGGCCAAGATGATCAACCCCGTCGGTGGCAAAGAACAGAGAAGAAAAACCCCGTCAGTGTGCGCGCCATGGCGGCTTAACTATAGTAGGATCATGGAGAGAAGACCGAGATGAACGACGGCGACGACGATGAGAGAGGAGATACAGAGAAACCATGCCGGCTAGAGGAATAATTAAGCAGTATCTTAAATCACAGCACACATATCCATATGTACGGCCATGAGAAATATGTAGATCTTCTCGTCTACGATCGTCGAAACAGAAAACTTGCAACACGAATATTGTGCAGAGCTGCGAGATTAGGCTGCTGGTCAAAGAAAAGTTCAAACAATGGATCGTGCGCAATAAATCTGACAAAATTCGTACAAAACAGCTTCAAATGGGAACAAGAAATTGAGTATGTACTCGACGAAACTACAAACCGGTCGTTTGAATGGAACCGTAACATTGATGTGCATCTTTTTCGTGTAGAGCTTGCCTCAAATCAAAGCACCGTTGTGTAGATTAGAGAGATATAGAAAAGAGAAGATTAGAGAGGAGCTTACTAGAGGTTAAAGAAGACACCACGTAAACACCTCACATCTCTCCCATCTTCATTCGTGTAAGGGCTCGCTCGCTTGCGCTCGCCTTGACTTGACTCGTAAGAAACTGCCGATCTGAGCATTTCCAGCAAGGCAGGCCCAAAAATGCTTTAAGAAGCGTGTGATACAGGCTCATCAGTGAATCCAGGCAACCAAACAGGCCTCTTTCTTCTGACGCGGACCTGATTGGGCTTGATGTGGGCAACCGAACACGCCCTTTACGGCGTTGGACAAAAACTCCTGAATATCCACTCCACGCGATCCAGCGCACTACACAGACCGATTTGTACATTTGAATTGCCACAAACCGAAAGAAAATTAAACCGGTAGAGATTTGTGGACGTCCAATGTAGGCGTCCGACTCAGTAGTCTCACTAAAATCTTCATCGTCCATTTCGCTCCAAAACCATCGCTGTGCATTCATGCCACTCATGTCAATGCACTAAAAGGCTACCAACCGCATTCATAAAATGTAAAAGCTTATCACATAATTTCTAAAAATGACAATGCCATATAAAAAGAATGACCACACCTTCTAAAATTGTTGACAACATGTAGCGATCCGACCTTAGACGGTCAAATTTCTGTGTATAAGTGTCATCTCTGGATCGTTAATGCTGACACACACAGTTTGTGAGATTTATAACAGAGTTCAATTACACACTTATTACATCGAATGTCTCTAAAATGAACTTATTACAATAAAATGGCTGAAGGCCATCTAAATAAAATAACAGCAGAAGCTTCAGAGGTAAATGAGTCCATCAATTCCAACGGCATAGTTGAGTGCATGACAACGACCTACCACACCTTACTCTTCGTCTGAAAACTGCAGCATAATACGTTGCAGCCTGTATAGGTCAGCACATGAAATATGCTGGCAAGATAACACTATAAAACAATGAATAAATAACAACTATAATCTATATGCATATTCTGCTAGTGGAGGCTCTATGTTTAGCATTTGCAGAAAGCTAGTTTTTCCCTACAACAAAGAAATATATTTTATTTATCTACAAAGTTTGTTGAAAACATTGAGAAGGTTCCTCCAACTCAATCCCAAATTAAAGTAGTTATCACCCAACAATTTAATTAAGTAAAGTGAAGAGATCAAATCAATAATTCAAGCACCAGATACTCAAGATGTCCATAACCGGGGACATGACTAACCATGATTAGTTTGTACACTCTTCAGAGGTTTGCGCACTTTTTCCCACAAGACTCGATCTCCTCCATTGTATTTCTCGCACTGCATGGTGTTTGAGAAACGGATGACCGAGACACGGTCTTTCCGAAGAGGTCCCCTTAACTGATAGATATGTCGGTACACCTACAATCCCCTACATCTGCTAGCCCATCATGGAAAGGTTTCCCGCAACTTACTCAACTATGCCAGAGCCCATAATGGCTTGTGGCTACACATGAAAATTTCCAGCATGAATAATTTTATGAT